CGACAAGGTGGAAGTATTGCAAAAATATCCTCAACCGAACACATTGAGAGAATTAAGATTTTTATTGGTCTTTGTACATATTATAATCGTTTTGTAAAGAACTTTGCTACCATTATACGACCTTTAAATGAGATGACAGTTGGGAAGCCTAGTAAACGTTCTCGAATCAAATGGAATGATGAATCTTTGAAAGCTTTTGATGACATTAAACATGCTTTAGCCAATGCTACGCTGTTGGTTCATCCACATCATCAAGCACCCATTTCTTAATTACTGATGCATCTGACATTGGAATATCAGGTGTTTTGCAAATGTTTGAAAATAATCAATGGAGACCTCTGGGCATGTTTTCGAGAGCTCTTCGTGGCCCCCAGAAAACTTATTCTACTTTTGGCAAGAAACTTTTGGCTATTTTTGAATCTATCAAATATTTTCGGCATGAATTGACAGGAAGAAAATTTCAATTAATCTCAGACTCGAAAAGCCTGGTACAGGCTATTCAAAGTCCGAAAGAGCGAATAATCCAACGGGAGGCCCGTCAGCTTGAATACATATCAACTTTCGATTTCACAGTAAAACACATTGCCGGTGCATTGAATATCGCAGCGGGCACATTGAGCCGAATTGAAATTCACCCCGCAGAGCATGGTGGAATAAATGCCATTGTACCTCAACAAGAAATTATCCCGTTAACTGACATCTATAACGCACAACAAAACGAGCTAAAGCAACTTTTAACGAAGCATTCTCTACAGTTAGTACAATTTCCAGTCCCAGGATTGGCGGGAAACATTATTTGTGACGTCAGCCTTGCTGGCAAACCTCGAACATATATTCCAACTTCATTACGATATCGTATTATCAACCTAACTCATAATTTGTGTCATCCAGGAATATCAGGAACTCAACAACTTATAAAAGACAGTTATGTCTGGCCGAATATGAGTAAAGACATCCGTAAGTTTGTTCGTGAGTGCATACGATGCCAGAAAGGCAAAGTTCAACGACACATACGCACAGAATTGAAAAACATCAAAGTTCCCAGATGAACGTTTTAGCACTATCAACGTAGATTTACTTGGACCACTCCCCCAATCTCATGGTTATGTTTATTTGCTTATGATAATTGACAGATATACAAGATATCCAATTGTGTTCCATTGAAGGACAGTTTGACTAATACAATCGTACACGCTTTCACTAATAATTATATAAGCCATTTTGGTGCTCCTAGTACCGTTATTACATATAATGGACCGCAATTTACATCAACAACTTGGAAAGATTTCATGACATTCCTTGGTTCAAAACATATATTGACAGCGCCATATCGTCCTCAAGAAAATTCTTTAGTTGAGCGTCTCAATCGAACTGTTAAAGCTTCTCTTAGAGCTTGTGAACATCCATCTGACTGGTTTCCGAATTTGGGTTTTGTATTACTTGGTATTCGATCAGTTGTTAAAAGAAGATTTGGGTTTCAGTCCTGCCGAGTTAGTTTACGGATCAACATTACGCCTTCCAGGACAGTTTGTGGAACCGCAACCAGACGCGACAAATACTGACCCTCATACATATGTAAATGAACTTAAGAGATTTTTCAGAAATCTCTGTTCAAATCCAACACGCAAACAGCCTTCAAGGAAAACTTATATACCAAAGGACTTGAAGAATTGTAGCCATGTTTTTATCAAAATCAGTCGATCAAGAAAGGACTGGAAAACTTCTATGAAGGACCCTTCCAGGTCTTAAAACGTGGAAGTAAGCATTTTATCGTCGACCGGAACTCAAAGCCGTATGAATGTTCAATTGACAACTTAAAAGTTGCACACCTACCAACTTCTGACCTATGCATGCAGATATTGAGGATAGGAATCTTGGCGCCAAATCATATGAACGACCGGGCGAGCGATGTTCACTGTTTCGCGCCCACGGACTTTCAATTTCAATATTTCAAAATAATAATGATACGATATCCGATACAAGCACGAAACGATCAAATTGCGATGCAGAAATTCATTTTTACAGATTCAGCACATCGACTGGGGCCGTCTCCGGAAATGTCAAATCAGCAACAATCAAATCGGCCGCGAAGGCTGAGAAAACTCCCACGCCATTTAAGAAAGACTTTATTCTATCAGGCGAATTCAGATGGATATCTGATGACCATATTTTACTACACCAATACCTTGCTTTGTCATGCTTTGTATGAGTACGCAAGCCGTGAGGAACCACTGAAATTATGTCACAAATCGTTACATGGACAGACTTACGACTACGCAAACTAGCTATTTGTGACCGACTACAAACTTCATACAATGAAGAATTGTTCAGCAAACATCTACGAGACATCTGCCCTTCTTACAAATGTTGATACCAAGATTTGTAAACGTACAACGACCTACTGGCGAACCATTTCATGGCTGTTCTTCGTCAAGCGCAAACCAAAAACACGTTCAAATACCTCAGCCAATGCGCACCCAATTCTGGTTTTTGCCGGAAAGGTGTGTTTACATTTGTTTGGAATGTTGAAGATACGAAAGCTTGTAGAGCTCGCAACTTTCCGAAATTCAACACTACCGAATTCTTGTTATATTACAATGCATCGGGCAATCTTACCGATTGGAATACCGATCATTGCAAACTTTCGAAACTTGTTCTCAACTAACGAAATCTTGCATTGAATCAAACGAAGTCTATTGTGCATACAATGGCTTTGTTTTAAACGTAAATGACAACTGCCAAGACATTGTCAGATTACGTCATAAAGGCGTGGCCGCTATTTGGCCTCATTTACGCTTTATTCGTTGTACCCCTGCTTTACATAGGTTATTTCATCTATCGAAGCTTGCCAAACTGCCGAATGTCCGTTCGCCGTACATTAACAAATGGATTGCTGCAACCAATACATCGACTTCTCAGCATACCACGACAAACCGTAGTACAATAGAACGAACAACAAGAAATACACCAGTTATCCGATGTCGAAATTGACGATGAATTGATGGAAAATGCTAGCAACTTCTCAGATGCGAGCACCCAAGCTCAAATGGAGTCGAAAGTTTGACTGTAACAACCTTTTAAATTTATCCCCACCCTATTAAGTCAACTCGATTCCGGCGGTCGTTGCGAGTTGTATATGGTGTGTATCTCGCAATGTGTCGCCTCGTTATTAATCATCTTGTATTTTATCACTTTAATCGTTTTGTATTTTATTACTTTTCTCCTATTATTATCCACTATAAAACATCAAAACACCTTAGTATAAGAATTTAAATATAACAAAACAAAAAAAACATACAAATAAAATAATTGTGCAGTGTCAGTTTTCTTTTCTGTGTAATTACTTGTTATTAATCAATGCCTTGTTTTTTAGATATCACGAGTTCTTTTACTTCATACAGAATTTGATTCAGGTTCAATTTCAGGGATTCAATGGTTCAATAATCTGTCAAATTACTCATTATTCAATTTACAGGATTTTTTCTTACTTATTATTTTATTTCAAATAACCTCTAACGCCAATTTTACAATCCCAAACACCAAACCAATTTCGGTGTAATTCTCAAGTACTAAATCCGCCATTTTTTTTCTTCTCAGGTCCTTCCTTTAAACATCAAAGTGTTTTACATTCTTTTAAGTCCTTTCTTTCAAGTATTGTCGCCATTTTGTTTACTATTTCGTTACAATTCCATTTTAAAATGTTAAGCATTTCTAAGCAACATAGAGAGAGACCCTTTGAATTTTTTTTCTCGTATTTTGTTTTCTCTCGTAAACGGCGTATATTCTCTTGTATACCTTAACCATTACTCATCATATCGTACCAATATCTTTTATTAATTCGTGTTATTTTGTTTTCTTTCACTCCATCTCTCGGCGGGAATCGAACTTAAACATATAGGGTGATAGTCTCTATCCACATCATCAGCATCTCATCTCTTTCTCCCTATATCCGAGTTAAAGAAATGCTGAAGAAGAACTGAGCGGCTGCACAAATTGCAATTGTTACGTCATTGTTGACTTATTGCTGATTGGTCTTTGTTACGGAAATCGATGCTCGGGGAAACAGAAGTATTTATACCCCTTTCATTCCCCCCAAATCCTTCAGCATACTCTGTCACGTCGCCAAACGTGGATCCAGAAAAATTCTTTCGATCAATCGGTCGGTTGTGAGTTTTTATATTTACATGTTTATCCTGGGGGAGAGGAAAGCCGATAAGACGGCTTAACTATATGGCGAACCACGGCCTCTCGTCCAGTTACCATTCCAAGTTGGGTATGGGATTAGTTATATTGTTTTGTTTTCGGAAGCATGGACTTGGTGGTGGAGGAAGCCGTAACCGACCAGCGGTTACGTGAACCACCCAACGACGGCGAGGAGTCCAGCAATCCTCTCGCACATAATCATCCCTGCATGGGATTCGAACCCACGCAGAGTAATTAGAGGTGCGGTGGCGAGCGTATTCCTAACGCTTAGCCCCTTGAGCCACACCGCTTGTAAAACGCACAACAGAATCACGTCAAATTTACTTTTTTTCCAACCAGTACAATTAACCTTAGTATAATCTCCCTTCCAGTGGAACTGCTCGTGAAATAAATAAATTCCCCCGTCACATGAACAAAATGAGGTTTTCACACGAAAGTTGACTTTTCGAGAATGCGACTCCGCCCAGAATTATCGCTCCGTTTTAATTCTTTCGCCCCTGGGAGCGATATCGCCCACTTCGAAAATTACTGCTCTTGTTAGACGATCCAAAACGCTAGTACCGTACAAATTATTCAAGATAGTTTTTGATTATAATCTTAAGTCCCGCGGATTATCGTAGTTCATGGTTGGAAAAACTACAAGCAATTTCAATCTCTTCTAGAACTGCCAACTATTAAACTGATATTGCAGTAGCAACCAGTCATTTGGGAATGTTCATATTTCACAACACTATCGTCGAACTATACAATGTTTGAACAAACATGCCCCAGTTGGACTAACGAGATAAACCACTGTATGGATGGCCACAATATATTGTATTTATCACATATAATATCATATAAGGTAACAAAATTTCATATTCGAGGGAGGAAAAATATAACAATAACCCAGGTGCCAATATAGAGTGATTGCACAGAAAAGATTGTCATAAGAAAATACAGAGAAGTGTTACCTTTAAATACAGATTGATAGACAAAAGAAATCGGACTAAACTCGGACAATTTAGATTACTTTAATTGAACATGTAAAATCTATATGTGTAATAGAAGTTGAAACTTTTCACATTCCATCCAAAGAAATTTCACCTAGTCCACGTGATCATAGCGAAAGGTATTCACTGTACAGATCGCAAATTATCCACAAAAACAAAAAACAGTTGTGATGGAGGCTCTGCTAACTTGGAACATGGCACGACAAAACTATATAACAGTAGCGAATACAGTCCTTACTTGGGCTCAAAACTTGCATTTCTGCACACTTGCATTGAAAGATTTTATGATACTGTTTCAAGCAGTGCTTGAATAATAAGAGAAAGCGGTGCATTGAAAAGCATACAGCATTAAAGGAAACTTATCTTGACCCACTATCCGCAGACAACGAAAAGAAGTCATATCCACGCAGATACCAAGAAAACTAAGCACAAAATGACATAAATCAAATACTAAACCGAAAAATAAAACTGAAGTAGGAAAATGATAACCTTAAAAGATCTTCAAGTCAATAAATTGATGAAAAAAGTTAAGAATTCTATTATTAATCCAAACAGGCTTGTACTTCGACAACTTGGATTATTTTCCAAAATTTTTGTGAACAATCAAATCAGAAAAGCATATTAAATTTTGGAAGTATCCATAGATAAGCTTAGTTAAATTGTACTTGATATTGACCTCACTTGATATCATGGAAAAATATATCTGATTTTGTATCTACATCTAATTCACCAGCACATCAAGTATTTTGAGACTATTTCAAAGTAATATAACAATAAATTTTATTTTTTACAACAATTTCAACATATAAATTAGATTTCAACTTAATATTGAGAAGAAATCATATGATAATTATATCATCGATTGAAGATCCACTCATGTTGGATGGTGATGCTGATATCGGACTCAATAGAGGTTTGAATCTTTCATAATATCTATAGAAATGCAAGCAAGAGTCATTAAACGCAAAATAAACAACAGACATCGATAATATATTACAGACTTCTAAACAGAATGAGCTTTCTAAGTGGAAGACATTTCTCCATAAAATATCAATCAAGTCAGTTGAATTTGCTAGTCAGTTGGATTGGGGGTGTGCAACCTGCAGCCCACATGGAAAATTTGTGCGGCCCGCGGAGAAGCGTCAATTCTGAATGGTGTGCGAGCTAGTACTTCCAATCCCTTTGAGTTGCAAAGCCCATACCGGAATCCAATTTAATATCTATGCCTATAACGTAACAATGCCCCAACAGCTCGCTTTTAAGAACCACAACGCAAGTCATAAGATCAATAACACAAATTTTTGTGCCTGTAACTGCAATTCGTAACTGGCCCTCATGTTTTTCAAAGGTTGCGCACCCCTGTTGTAGATAATCATAACGCAATATGGCTATTTTTAGATTGCTGGAAACATCTCATTTACGACTAACAGTTCAAGATGGATGATTCAACTGGGATGTTGAAGCACATTTCAACAAAAAATTCATCAAAAATTTTTATCATTTCATTTACCTATATGGAAGGTCGTCTAGAGTCATTGAAGGTTCACTATGGCCCCTGTTCAGTAAACATTGAAAGAAGACATAGTAAGCATGGAGTTTCAATTAAAACAAAACTGCTCAGGTAAATGATAAACAAACCTTACTGATACCACTCAACTGGAGTATGAGACACAGTATGAACAAGTGCAAAAACATGACTTGAATTGAATTGGGATTGAATTTGAAATGGAACACACTTATGCGAATTATCAAACATGTCTTAACTCGTAAATATATATATATATATTTTGAAAAATTGAAAAATTTTGAAAAAAATCAAATTGTTATTCTAGAATATAATACACAGAGTTCACAGCATGTGCACTTTACTGCAAGGTATCTGAAAGTATTTTTCAGGGGCGACAAAATTTCACACAAATTTTAAAGCATTTTACGATATAAATGGTTAGAGGTAACATACAGATATATGCCTCGGTAAATTCTTTCAAAAATATGATAATCCTAAAATTGATAATTGTTTGTTAAATTGTTATGGAAGACATGCTGCTTCCTGAATCATTTATTCGAACAGACATATTTGGAACAGAAATGACCAGCATTTTTTATTTCCATGGACAAATCTGCACCTTGTGCTGCCTATTTATCAACACATAAAAATTTATTTAGCATGTTTGGCATATCTTGATTCATACAAAATTCCAATAACATTATCCCTTGAACTAAGATTTTAAACAAACATGCCATTAGCTTAAAGTGCATTGACATTATCAAATCTTAATATGTGGTTTCAATATTACAAAATCTTCAATTTAAAAAATAATAAATGTGAGTAAACAGTAAACACTCACATGCAGTTGAAAATCTCTTTGTTGTGATGGAATGAACATAATTGTGCTCACAGCCAGGTTGAAAAATGTGATGTCAGAGGCTTTATATTCACATAACATGGTGGGAAGCATATGATGCAATAGTTCTTGAAGTATGTGCGACCATGGGACGACACAGAACAAGTAAAATGCATTTTAATTAGGTATATCATTGCAAAAATACCAATAATCTTTTCATTTGCTTGGCAGACTACAAGCTTATATATATTTTGGTCAAAAAAGATTAGAAAAAAAAATGTGAATGCATATTTTAGAAGACCGAATAGGCAAAATACACAACCCCTCTCTCTCTCATTATAAAAGACAACCGAAGGCATTTCATGCAAGCGACTGTAATTATATACGTTAAACTAAACATATAAACTATTTCTGTTTTAATAATATCTATAATATATCTTTTTAATAACTGGAAACAAATCTGGTATTTTACTAAATCAGCAAAAGTGTATTCAGAAGGATATCAAGGATAAATCGCTATGGGAAAATGAATATATATCTAAAATGAACAACTCATTTTACATCTTTGTTAAGTTAAAGCCTAGTATCTGGTATAGACTCCTGTTACAAATATAAATACTTGAAGTAATACTGAATATATTCAAAAAATATCAAGTTTTCATTTAACAAAATTGTAAGTGATTGTCGAAGCATAATCTGTCTGCATCATTAGAGGTATACCAATGATAAAATTTCTTTATCTCTATATAATTGATGAAAATAATTTTACCACCTGAAGCAGCAAATAAAAAAAATCTGTAAGTGACCAAGACCAATAACTATCTAACCGATGTTGATTTACAAATTTAAAATTAGAAAAAAAATTGTTATTTTTATGTGTCAAATCTAGCCAGGGCCAAGGAATAGTCGTGTAGATGGAAATCTTAATTTTTCATAGCAAAATTTAAACATAATCACCAAAAATGAATCCAACTTGTAATGTTAACCTTCCTCAATCTGTTATTAACAATATGAACATAACTTATCATTGAATAGCAAAATGATATTTTTAAGCATATGCAATTTTCTCAAAAAAGTTGACCGAAATCAGAATATTTGAGTGAATGAATGGCATATTCCAAAACTGGAAGGAATAGATGTTCACATTCCAAGCTAAAAGTCGCTTGCATATATTTTATGAACACGACCCATTTTTAGTCCATACTTTGTGTATGTTGCATTGTAGCAACACAATGAAATATACTAAACAAATGAAAATGAATTGAAGTGATCAAAAATGAAAGCAAAAACAATGAAAAAAAAATGATGAAGGCAGAGGCATAATTAACAACAAATAAAGATGAAAAAATGTAACATCACATTGAGAACTCGGCAGGCAGTGAAGAGAATTACTTTCTGAAATAATCCTGAATAAATCCGAATATCTTGATCGTTGTCAAATTTTTTAAAAGATAAACCTGCTAGAAATTGTCATTGTGAATGAGTAACTTGCCCTCAGCTATGCCATAACCAATGTGCTTTACGCATGACCCATGCCCTGCTTTGTCATATATGATCAACTTTCCACAAGTAGCTAACTAGACCGAAAGCGTCAATCAGTAACAAAACTTATATTGATTGATATATTACTCTGCTAGCTCATGCAACACTGTGGTGGGATCAAACATGCGGGTGGGGTCAAACATGCGTTCACGACTATGATTTGCGGCAGCGCCTTGTCTGCCCCTAATGGGTTGAGATGACCTTCGAATCATTTTTGCTTGCGGTAAACGTAATATTTGTCCCATAATTCCATTGTCTGAAAAATCTGGCCGCTGTGAAGGTTCATATGCCCAACAAGTCATCAGAATGTCCTGGAAACACACAAAATAGACAAAGATTGAATATTGCTCTATAAATCAGTGTGAATCAGGTTGGGAGCAGAAACGGACTTTTGCGATATATGGCAGTAATCACATTGTACCTGGAAGTATGGAGACGTTGGTTCTCGAACTTTTTTGCACTTTCCACCCTTACATGCATGCAATATCACTGTCCCCAAGCATTGCAAAAAGGTAAAGCTACAAACAAATGCATTACAAACCCAGTTAAGCAAGTACTTTATTCTATGGACTGTAAGATGCACTCAAAATACTTTTTTTTCTCAAAAATCGATCATGAGCCTTACAAGTCGAATGGATCAGGTAGTACTGTAAGCTTTATTGCCTACTGTCAAAACCAGCACCAGTACCCGTTATGCCTTATAGCACAATGACTTAGGTATGGATAAAAATCTAATCTCAGCAATTCATTTACAGTACGCCTCATAACTCGGTGCACTTAATGGTCCGAAATATATGGTAGACTAATTAAAGATCGTTGTGTTTTTTAATGAGACAGACGAGCTTGAGAGTTTTTTTTTTATATTTTGGATACATTTTGTACAGATACAATCTTAAATCACCCCGTTTTCCACAGGAGAAGGCAATTTTTCAGTCGTAATATTGTCATGGATAAAAAAAAAACTTTTTTTGTAGTATATGTAGTATTTGGAAAATAATTGGCACCAAAATAGCTTTTGCAGAATTCATTTGATTTTACAATAATTCAGAATACACTGCACCCTAGTGTATATTTTGTTCCAATTATCCACTTCAAGAATCACTGAAGTAGACTGAACATTAATATCAGGACAAGTATAACAAGAGAGCTACGCACAAATATATGGACACGCTAGACCAGAGCGAATCAGTCTTTACCGGTACCTTTGACGCTACCGGTACCCTCAAAAAAGTTCTGAATTTCCAGTAGCAAGAATTTTGCAGAATCAAAACGTACAGCCAGTCATGACACTGACTAAAATCCGTGTTCCCATGGATAAAAAATAATACAGCAAAATTTTAGACGAAATATCAAATTTCATAGAATTCACGCAAAGTTTTGAAATAAATAAAAGTAATAGCCTTCTAGCGAAGAAATTAATCTTTAACCACTGAAAATTTCAAAGCAATTGGTCCAGTATTCGAAGAGAAAAGCGATTTTTTAAAAACGTGTCAAAGAACAAGAACAACAACAACATAATATTGAAACGATCGTTATGGCCACTAAACGTGTCCAATAAGACTGCAGAGTATACAGATATTTCAACATTATTTGTAGCTTACAAACAAATTGTAAATACCAGGGTAATAATTTCAAACGCCAAAGAAAGCCTATGCTATGTCCACCAGGTGAGGTTTTGAGTGAGTAATAGTACCTTAAGCTCTTTCGGTCCTTGTAAATGAGCAAGACTTTGTTTTTTTCCATTTCCAACCTGCCATGTAATTGATTCTGCTGGATAGTCTTTGAAAGGCCAACAACCAGTTAAAAGTTCATACCAAACAGTGCTGAAAAGTAGAAGAAATCCAAACTAAATATGCATTGAAAATGAGATGCAGCTGTTTTTGTTTTCTTGATTTTGGATAAATTATGAACATGAACATAATTTATCATCATAACAGAAAGGATTATTGAAACTGGGGCAACCTAGATTCCAAAATATTTGCGATTAAAACACCAAATTAATCTTAAAAACAGATCCAAATCACAGTATCAAGCTTCAAAATCGCGTACAACCAATATACTGCATACCACAGGTCAGGTGTACCGTGTAACACAATTTTGTTACCTCCATATTGGCACATGCACTTCTGGAGCACCCATGACTAGACGAAACGTTACAGAAATACATTTGTGTTAGTGCACAGCACGACTCTTGAATTAAATATTATAAATATAACATTAGATATCTCACCCAAAAGCGTAGACATCAGATTCTTTTGTATATGGAAGGGAGGAAACAACGTCCATATCATTGTAAGGAACAGATAATGCTCGGATGATTTCAGGAGCCATATAGCATAACCAACCATCAGGTACTTGCAAAGTCAATGGCTTTATCCTAGGAAAAAGTATAATAATGGAAACTGAGTTTTGAACTTGATAATATTTTCCCCCATAATGAAATACCTGAATTATTACAAGTGTTTAATCAGCTTTGATTACTTTCTGAGTAAAAGGTTTCCAATTCACATGTTTATTAAATTCGTTCAAATTTCCTAATCTTGAAAAATGTAACACCTCTGGATTGTTTTGAGTACTTTAAATTTAAATCAACCAAATTAATTCTATTTATAAATTTAAAGAACGATTCAATAAAAAATATGACTTTGACTAAGATTCAATAAAAATTTTTACATAACAATAACAGTGAAAATTGATATTCGTAAGATAAATTTCACATGAATGCATAGTGCAGAATAATCAGTATACAATACATGGTGTTCATAGACTCCGAATACATTTCATTATTTGTTATAAAGTCAGTTCTCAACACAACCAGGTTTGTTTTATTTTAATTAGTGTTCAACAAACTACATATGATATCGATAAATCACGTTTGAAATTAAAAAAATTTTTAAACTTCATGAACAGTATATTTTGAAGACTGCTATTTTGAAAAAAGCATATTTATACCGGTACTAACACATTAAAGTGTTTTCACATAGTCGAACAAAACATTAAAAAAATATCATATTTTCAATTCAAGAGACAACATTTCACCATAACAATAGTATATTATAGACATCCTGTCCATATCATTTTCACAAACCTGATAGATTTAGTTGAAATAGCATGAAGCCCCATCAACCCAAAATCAGTGACAACAATTCGATTTCCATCCACGAATATATTCTTCGTCTTTAAATCTTTATGAATGATACCTCTAGAGTGAAGATATCCCATTCCCTGAAAAAATGGTTGCATAAAGATAAACACATAAATTGTAAGTTTCCCTAAACATTGCATCAGGAACTATTTTAGCTAATTTTTATATCAACGCTTATTCAACGACTTCTGCTCGGAACAAGGTCTTGTACAGGCAGCCACTGATATCTAATGTTACATAAGGACTATTATCACCTACCCAATTTATTACCCCCCTGGGTAAGTTGGGGTAGCATGGGATTCGAACCCAAGATGTGTAATCTGTGATGCTAACAAAGTTGGTACTCCCGTAGTGTGGTTAGGGTAGGCCATAATTTTATTCCGATTTCCATGGGTTTCAGTCCCTTTACACAACTTGATGTAAAATAGGCGAACAAAATTAGTTACCTCCATATTGGTACACACACTTCTGGAGCGCCATAAGTCCAAAGGTGATGTTCAAAGATTATTTTCAAATTATGCAAAAACAAAAAAAGTTGAAAACGGAATTTACCTGTGCAATGTGCTGTGCAATAAATTTGGCTCTATTCAAAGGAACCTGTTGATCTTTTGCCGATCGAATAAGTTGATATAGTGAATATCCTTTACATATTCCGGTAATAATAGCAAGTCGAGGTGGATTCATGCATGATCCCATAAACAGTTCAATGTTATCATGTCTTGTTTTTTTATACAACATCACCTTGAAAAAGAAATAATGGATGTCAGGTTGTCATTAGTCTTATGTCTAGAAATATAAATAAAAACATGCCTCTACAATTTTGTTCAATTTACAATAGTTTTTTTTACTTCAAATATTTTCTCATAATCAGAAATCAATCAATTGGATTGTCTACATAATCGGTTCTCAACCAATGGGCCATGCCCATGGCCTATTTTTGGGCGCCAGAACCATTATCAGGTGGGCCACAAACTTATTCAAAATTGCTTGAGTTACTAATAAATTACTAAAATTAGTTAAACTTTGATTGTAGTAGCAATGAATGATGAATTGCAGCATTGATGATGCTGTTTTTTCTACTGAGTGGTAACTCTCATTTCAATTGTTATTTGGTATTTGAGTGGAAATGTCTTTCTTTACGAAAAGATTTTTTTGGTTTTTCCTGTGATTTTTCTCTTGCATAACAAGTCAATGGCAACAAATTTTTTTGTGCAACAAAATAGGCCATGAAAGAAAAAAGGTCCACAACCGCTGGTCTAAATGGTAAATTTCTAAAATATTCCACCTTTGATACTAATAAATAAATGTATTTCACATTAGTTTCACAATTAGTTGTTAAAGATTACTTGTCTTCCGAGTGAGTACCAAATATTACAATTAAGATCATTTTTCTTTAAAAATGAATAAATATATGCAATTTACCTCATGTTTGAATGCTCTGAGTTTTGTGTCATCAACGTGAGAGATGTATATTACACGGACAGCGACCTCAGCATGCCATTTTCCTCTATATACAGCTCCAACTCGTCCTTTTCCTATGCAATCTCCCAGAACAAGTTCATCCCATGGTATATCCCATTCATCGTGCATTGTGCTGGTAGTCTACATGAAAACAATCAAGAAAATCATCCATTATCCGATGTGTTACTAAAGTTGTGTGTATGGATCAGAATGTAAGACTAACTGAAATTATTGAAGAAAATATTTAAAACGACTCTTATTCGTGGCTTTTGCTCCGGAAAGAAGGCCCTATATGAGCGGCCACTGATTTCTAATCAATCAGCTGCTATTCATTGGACGGATCAGTTCAACATTGCCTGTACAATTTATTACATCTTGGGTGTGTGGGGGGCATGGGATTTGAACTGAAATGTGTAAGCTACGAAGCCTACAATGCCATTACATTTAAACAATTCACCACCCAAAATTGATTTGATACTTGACCAATAAAAAGTTAAGCTAGAGCTCTTGAATCATAATATTAATACTCTGAATATTTTCAATACTCATTTCATTTTCGAATTTCTATGTGAAAAAATTTTAATAATCATGATTGTTTTGTAAAAATTTGAAACTCTACAAAAATAAATTGATCCTGAATACAGGAAAGTATTCATGTGACGCTGGATGCCGATTGATTCCAATAAATATACTAACGCTTGTTTGTCTCATCAAGTTTACTCTCGCTCTCATATCCTCAGACTCTTCCTCAAGATCTGCAATTGAGTCTGCGTCCTCTTCATGAGTTGAATCTTGAGCATGCTGAGCAGTTGATTCATCCAAAATAGGCTCTGTCTCCTCGGCAACCAGAGTGTTATCAGTACCAGTAAAATTTGTCGATGAACTTTTGAAGTATGAATCAAATCCAAAGTTCAAATCTGAAAAACAGACATAGTATTTTGTCTCAACATTATGCCTTATCACATTAGGAGACAATGATGTAAATCGAAATTATAAAAACAGGATCTATTTGTATAGAACTCACTAACAACTCGTTCCCTCATTTCAGAAAACTAAGTCAAATAAAACAAAATGAATGGTATGGTTATTGCAATATTCCTAGAGCATGTTCGCACAAACCTGTGCAAAGCGTTCAAACCCAACACTGCTAAGATTCCATGTAAAGTAAATTATAAGAATGAGAATATATCATAACTGAAATTTGCCTCAAATATTCTCAAACTCTTTATAGATTATATTGTTTATACCAGACTCCTGGATCGAAGACTCTTCTACCACAGCTCAATACATATCAAATTATTTAACTTTTAACAACAATTACCTCGACCAGATAACATGGAAGCTTCCCCAGGTGTTGTCATACCAGATGATAGACCTGCTCCAGCATCAAACGATGCAGACTCTTTATGCATTCTATCAATAGAAATTTAAATTCAAGCATGAACATAGCATAAAAGGTTTGATATCCCAAAACAACTTGTTAAATGTTTTTTTCATATGTTCGAAAAGACAATCATAATTACAGAGCCAAATGAAAGATTTCAGATTTGAATAAGGCTGAGTAGAAAAACAAGTCGCAGATTAGGAGTTTTGCATAATATACATTTTTGCTCTAGCTGCCCTGTCTTCATCAACCCCAGAACTGAAATATTGCAAATTACGAAATCAACGATTTTCAAGTCTTTTTAAACAAATCGAGCGATAGCCATATATTTAAAGGTTGTGGAAAATTGGTTCACCAAGACACAGCACATTTGGATGTTCGAAAGCCACTACCAGCCTGCCCCAAAAAATTACAGTTTCATGCCTGTTCAACTTATAAATATATTGCAAAGTATACCTTGATAGAAAACATAGATGTTGTAATAACTTTTCAGAAGTTATTTGATATTCTTAAAATATGATTGCGAATGACTTGTCAACATACAAAACACTAAAAATACATTTAGCGGTATATCGTATTTACAAACGAAATATTTTATTGTTCAATCCAACATCACCAATTGTGTGAATAAAGTGAAATTAGTAAATCCTCCACCCATTGTTCCATAAAAGAATAACATTGTCTACTATGGCCAGTATTCAATTACGACATACCTCATTAGCTGGTTTGAAGCAATAGAAGAACTGGAAGAATGTGTTGAATTATGTCGAGAATCATTTGTACTGAGTGTCGCATGAGAAGATTGTATAATAGAAGACGCATTTATGGTTGGAAAAGTATCCGAACGTATTTTGTGATGCGTTGGAAAGACAGCAGGTTCATCTGCAAAACAATAAGAATTAGAGATTTGATAACTGATAATATAAACTTCCCATTAGTTTATTAATTAGTATTTTTATTTAATTATTTCATTTATTTTTACTTATTGCCATTATTTACAACCACCTACAGGGTGACTCATAAAATCAGAAGCCATAACTTTCTTAATTAAAAATCATTCCTCGAAAATGAAGAAAAATCTACCTATATTGAATAATCTTTTTGTGATTGATTGTACTCAAAGTTTCAGTCCTAAGAGGCTTCGCATAAAACTTTTCTCTAAAATATGTTCAAAATGACCTGGTTTCTGTTTGGGTCCCCCTATATTATCCTCTCAACAATATTTAGCACTGTTCCCACTTTGATGTATCGTACCATAATGTGCTCAGAATTAAGACACGGGCACAGCATTGGAGGTCTTCAACTTGCAACACCAAGATAGTCAAACCCGAAGTGCTTACTAGGACTGGGCATTTCGGATCAAATATTCGAATCGAATAGTGAATTATTTGAATCGGTTCACACGAAAATTCCGAATCGCCGGCATCTTGTTTTTTATTTGGTCTCCAAAATTCAGGGTGACATCCTCAATTTTTTTTATTGTATCAATATTTTTACAACGAAAATCTGTAATACGACGCTCCTTTCTGGTGAGTTATTGATGAAACATGTTTCTTATTGTATGTGAAACTGACTGAAGTGATGGATTACATGTTTGCAGTAATTTTTGTGCCATAGGACCCATCACAATGAAAAATCACATACAATTAATTTTTTTAAATACTCAAAATTCGCTAAAATTCTGAAATCATCAAGTATTCGAAAATGCCCTGGTTTTTTAACCACTATGCTATGGTAACACTCATCCCTCACAAGCCACAGTTTTGCTCAGAATATCACCAAAATGGTAACAAACAGCATCGGGTCTACTATAAATTCACATACCAGCTACTCTTTCTTCACTCTTGTTTCTTCTTAATTTGTGGGATCGCATTCCAAATTTATCCTTAATTTTATCTTTGATTGCACGAAATCCACCCTTGAGTTTACCAGGTGTCTTAGGTGTTTGGGGAACAACAGGAGAGAAATCTCGTTGCTGCATCCACATCTCATTGTTGAATGGAGTCGCAGGTGTCATCGGCGTTCTAGATATCAAATTATAATCATTAGCCTATTCAGGATAATATTTTTGAGCCATTCCTGAGAAAATTCCTCTCAGAGATGAGAAGTGTTTTACAAAGGTATCATGACATCAATGAATTTTTGTAAGTAATTCTCGATTGCACAGGATAACGAAGTACCGGTAAACATGTAACAAGGAAAAAAGTTAGCAGGATGAATAAAATCGGCTGTGAGCTTCGACATAATATCAAAAGTTAATTTAGAAAATTTTCAAAGGAATATTATTAGGTTCTAGAGTCTGACATTTCCAGCTAATCAAAGCCTTATATACTACAGTTATGAAAATTTAAGAAATCAGAAGATTCCCCGTGGTCTATCAATGTTTTCTACTGCAATATTTTTGAAATCAAAAATCAATATTTTTTCAGGTAATATTAAACTTACCTAGGCGACATCGGAGATCCACTTTGACAAGTTGATAAACCACTCTCAGGAGATATATGAGTTTGGGATGATCTTCTGTTAGCTGTGGTATTGGTAGAAATATGAAAATTACCAGATACCATACTACTAATAAAACAGTTGAGAGAAACTGGCACTGGCATATTACGAGTTACAAATAATTCAACAATGTGATAGAGTCTATGATTTAAACATCAACTAATAAAGGTCTTCAGAATTTCAAGCCCTGAATAATATTGGCGGAAAGAAATTCTACAAAACTGAGGTTCTCATTAATGGTTGTTTTATTGATTGCAAGGAATTTTATTCTAATTTCAGCGTTTCCAGGAACTTAAAATGTAAACATTGTTTAAGATTCATTGCAATATTCATTGGATAAACAGCCGAAGCATATACTAGCTTCAATGTGGCAATATTACATGACAAGATGAATAAGGTTGAGTATGCATGAATATAAAAAGAAAAGATTGCAGTTGAAATTTTTTTTTAACATATTCAACAATTCAATTCAATCCTCAGTTCTTGCAGAAACGAAACAAGAAAAATATTTTGCATCAATCAGAGGCATCATAAATTGACTTTATTTTGAAAACTTGTTATGGACCATCATAATTCAAAGATATATTACGATACAGAATATTAACAAAAGTAACATTTCGATTCAATATAATGAAGGATCATACCTGTAACCAAAGAAATAAAATCAGGTGGTTCGTTATTTCCAATTACTATATTTCCTGGGTGCTTCCTTCTTTTCTTGCCGCTAGAAAACAGTTTTGATCCAGATGTTCCAGATGAAGATGGTGGCGGTAAAGTATTGATTGAGGTTAGACTTACATTAGAATTTGTCAAACTCTCATCACCTACATTAGTTATATGGTTCCCAACTTGCCATTCGTATGAGCGAGCGGTCCTCATAGTGCCAAACGGTAGAAGCAAGTTTGCTGCGGCTTTATTTTGAGGTGGAATCGATGATTCTGAAGATTTTGTTGCTCGAACTGGAGGCGGAGTGTTTGTCAATGACGACTGGCCTGAACGAGTTTTTGAGACATTTTGATGATCTTGAGCGTAATGACGCATGTAGGAGGGGGTAAACATATTCGCAGGGGGAGTTCGAGTGCCTCCATCATATGCGTTTTGAGGAAAACCATGTAGCTTAGCACCATATGGTGGAGAAGGTGGACCACACGACGATAGAGAACTTCTGGAGCTTCGTGATGGACTTGGGGGAGACTGAATTTGGCCATCCGCATCAGCCCATGAAGGCGCTGTAGTCCTTCCAGAGGCTGTATGGACTAGAATTTCATGTTTTCGTTGGGGTCGAGAATCGTTCGCATGTCTTTGTTCATCTGTTGAAGTGTTTGCACAATTTTGATCAATTCTTCGAAAATTTTCATTGTGATCCACTTCTGAATTATGACAAAAAAATTAGAAAATGAACAATTCACGCATCTTCACATGTGCAAGGCCAATATTCAAATTCAGAACACAGTACTGATATAAAAGCATCCTTAATTAGACAATCAAATAAAAATATGTTAACTGAAGTATATCAAGTATACCCCCTAAAACTAACCCATGAAAAATGTTCTAGTACAAAGCAGTGCTGTGGAGTAAAATAATTTTTACACTAGACTTCAACTTCAATCTCCTTCAATCCTCGAGTCTTCGACTACCAACTTCGCATCGAAATTACTCATTTAATTTATTGCTATGAGATTCTGTTAAAAATTTCGAATCATCACCAAAGAAAGTCTGAAATGCCCTGAAGAGTTGAATATTTCTCGACTCCTACCAGATAACACCAGATAATTGAAATGATGATGATTCCAGCTCTGACTGGTATCAATAGAGACATGTGCTCAAATGAAAAAATTGATAATGAAGCATTTGTATTTGAGGTTCATCTATGTTTTTATTTATATTTGACGTTATATGGTTGGAAATTATTAAAATTAGATGGCATTACACTTAATGTGTATTTGGGTTTGTTTTAGAAATCATACGTTTATTACTATTAATTTTTGTATAAAGATGAATTGTACTAAAAAAGCTAACGGTAATTAAATTAAACAAACAATTTTCCCTGAATCAGGCAAATCAGTAGTTCAAGTTTGATTCTACAAGAGCGATTTACGAAATATATTATACGATATACATAATACAAACTCAGCGTATCTACTATTCAACTCACAACCCCAGCGATTAGTTCACCCAAAGTCAACAGCTTTATTGCAAGTTTGCAACTTTGAATTAGTATTTTACAGTTAACTAGGTTGAATAGCTATTACGATCAACTCAACAGGATTGTAAATTTTGCGAGTTTAATTGAATTTCGAAAGCGCAAAAAAATAGTAAACCATGACCCCCAATGATCAGCAGACAAAAACAAGATGGCTGTCGGCTCCTTTATTATCTGGTACATAATATAACCGACCGCAATAAAAAAAATAGCTTTAAAAAGTCTTTATTATATTTATATATTTAATATCTAAAAAAGAAAAAAAGAAATGGTCTATAATTTCCGATCGTTTCAATCATTTTATATCATCTGATGCTTGAGACCTATATATATATACCACACATATATCTGTATTGAGCCTATTAAAAACTTATTACCAGGCAAAACCATAATATTCTAATTACATATCTGAATGCTCAAGGGGAGATAACATCATGTAATTAGTGTTCTGTAAATCCCTAAAATATGGCTGTAATGAAGTATTATGAACTAATTCCTTTTGTTCTATAGCCTATCAAAGTAATGTTAATGTCTTGAGGCAATTATAAGCCTAGTGTTATAATTTCTACAGTATTATGATTGAGGAGATGTCATTGTTGGGGGTTGTAATTGTAAAAGTCAAAAATATAGAATTTATGGTCAAGCTTAATGACTAAATAGTACACTGCCTTCCCTCAAGAGAAAAAATATTTTGACAAACTGGTACAATGAAGTAATACAGTATTGGATTGGGCTAAAGATATCAATTCCTAAATCACTAATAGCAGATATCACAAATTTGCACAGCAACATCCCAACCATATTAGCTTCATAGAAATTTTACACTACTATGATAATGTCAAAAATCAATGTATGTGTTTCGAATTACATCTTCTATGATGTTTTGAAAGAACATTTATTGTTTGGTAGTAAATTTCATCATTTGTAAGCGCGATGATGTCTCACATTTGAATAAAATCTTACAAAATAACAGCAGATGATCCACACTCAACCCAATATCATCAGATTATCTAGCCAGATATAAATAATTTATGAATAAGAGGCAGTATCAGTAGCCCTATTATAACAAAAAATAATAAAACATGGTATATTTTAGGGTTTGAAATTAAACCTGCCTGGTGTCAGAGCATAGATACTATAATAATATACAACACAGCTGTCCGTCACAGGCAGCACAATTTAGGTCTGTATGTTAAAAATAAATCCTTTAGCGCATTCCAAGGCGATCCCTCTTTTAATATTTGTCTGGGTAGCCATTACCAAATTAAATCCATCAGATTGATAAACATAACTCCTTTCAGGAATATACTTAAAATGAGTATTCTTCATTAGTGTATATCTCATTTATCTATTTTTAGGACTTGATAGCTAGCAAGACCATAATATTATTCTGCATAATATTGATGAATCGCTATTCATTTCAGAGTCATATTATGTAGAACATCACACTTCAGACAGTTTTGAAATGCTACACAGACCGTTGGAAAATTTTACATTTTGCGGTTAATAGGACAACATATTTTGGATGAACCAGGCAAATATCAGAAAGTATGTTTGTGAAAAGACCTCAAAATATATCAACACATTAACAATAGAGAGTTTGGATTTGAAACAAAATAGACCTACCTGCTTTGGGCTGTGAATTATTAGAAGCCTCATCTTGTATGGAGTTTTTGAGGCCATTTTGAAAACCCTCGGCGGATTCTTTACACCATGAATCCCAATATACTCCTTCTGTATTATCTTGATTGTCTATGGCACATTCCACAAAAATATAATACTTGTTCAATTAAGGCTTAATAACAATTAATCATTTCACAAGAAGTATATGTGGGTTCAGCAGAAATTAAAACTATAGAGTTTCTCGTTTCATTCATGCTGCGTTTTTAATAAATAATGATACTATCGGCCTTTATTTACAACAATAATATTAGGAATTAATAACTTGATATGAAACAAAACTTTTATCCAATATTATAAATATAGGACAGGACAAAAAATGTAGAGTTTCGGAAGTTTCTTTAAATTACCAAAATGGAATAACTAATATTCACCCTAAACAGGATCCAAATTGATGGAATCTTAGTAGCATATATATATATATGCGGGTCGGAAATAGAGTTTCAAAATTTCTTAAAATTACCATATTGAATTGAATTAACTGATAATCACCCTTAATTAACATGATCCATATTGATAAAATCTTACCCTTAAACTCTTTCAATTGACATAAAGCTGTCCACAATTTTCTTTTATCTTCAGAGTTACCTCCGCTCTCAAGCAAAATTGTTGAAACTTCATGCTCACCTAGTTCTAACAATGTTTCCACCGATTTTATGTTTCTCATTAGTATCTAAAAACAAAGTCGAAGAACGTTGAAAACATATCATAAAATCACGATTTCATACAAAATCAAACAATAAATATAAAAAATAATATACCAGTAAATTGCAGTAAACATAAGTGGAAATCTCAAGTATGAAGAAATGTTATTTTTGCTTGTGGTAATGATTATTCCCTATAACGCCATATGGTGTAATTATCTTCATCCAATATTCAAAAATGACACGAGCATTGATCAGACCAGATTAGCCTAGAGAGCTAAAATTAACAACCAATGAAAAACCAATAGAGTTCATTAGTCAAACAATTCAATATTCTGGAATTTTACTGATAAATATTGAAGAACATTATTAAATAATTGCAAATTTTGCTTCATTCAATTTAATTTCATTCTTCATTTTACAAAAAACCTCTTTGCGTCAACGTCAAGCCTATGTTTTGTTTTTAAATTTAGTCCATTTTATCTTCATATACTCATATTTTTTTTTATCTTTATACTCCCCAAACTGAATATACCTCATTAACATCTTTATTTATGCCAACAACAGTAAGCCATTGTGATAATGATGGGTACGTCTGAAAATCAACTGTCCAGTGTTTTTTTGGAACTTTGCATTTGGTTGTGAGCTGCCTCCAGAAATGTTTGATGAGTTTGCCCTAGATATAACATATAGACAATGTGTTAAAAATTAATATCAATTAACATAAAAATTTATACAAAATTCATCCTCAAAACATTGACAGGGAAGGAGGGAATTATTTTCACTTTATGATATTGAAAAATATAAAAATTCTTCAAACTGAATTAAAATCTGGTCTACATAATATGCCCGGAATGCCATAAATGCCTGTTATGCCTGACCTAAGAGAGAATTTTCCTTGTGCTATAGTGTCTGCTTGAATATAGTCAATTCTATTTTATTAGAATGTATTCAGGAAAGTCTTTTTATTAAATTATAAACACGGTCTAAAATCTTGTAGTATGTAAAATGTAAAAAAAGACAGTCAAAAGATTTAGCAATGACTGAAAAAATTTGTTATATCATAGTCAATGCATTCAAATAAAGAAATTTTGGAGAAAAAAAAAATTACAAATTCCATTAATAAGTTACTAAATTAAAATAAATTGCATACTTCCAATAATCGAATCTCATCTTTTATAAATTCCTGGAGTCGCAAATCACGAAGTGCAACAAGTCGCTCGGACATAATATCTATCATACTTTGAATATCGACAAGAGCTTTGACTGCATTATCCGATTCAACAGCCCAATTTCGGGCCTTTGTTTCTGCCGGCATCATTAGGTCATCGAGGATATATCCCAAGACTGCCTATTCCAAATTTTATTTATCCGTTTCCATCCATAACTCATTTAATTGAAGAGTGAACGTAGTGAATATATATTGTTATGCAGATGATATTACACAGTCATCAACATTAAGGTTTCAAAAACTCAGATATACAATTAACCAAAGATTACCATAGAAAACCTGATTAAACAAACAACGAGACATTAGTAAGTACGACAGACTGTAACAGATTGAGCGACATAATCTCTTTTCAAAGAATCCCAATTTGCCCATGAACAGCCACCCCTTCTTTCGGGGACGTCTGGATATTGTTGTCTTTCAATAAGGACATCAGACGTCCTTCTTTGGTAATAAATTCATGTGTTTGTTTATTGAACCAAATGACGGGACATTCTTGGAATTTGAAAACTGTGCCTTACTGTTAGTTGTTTATTTACAAAATACCTATGACTGTATGAAGCCCAGTCAGCCAGTACTCTAAGATTTCATCAGTCAACTTCAAACAGCAATATATAATTTTTCGAAGTGAAATGAAAAATGATAATTAGACAACCAACTCAGACAAAAGAATTATCTTCAGATTTAGATTGTGTGCTTTATTAAAGTATTAGGGTAACTGCACAAGCATATAAACTTTAGCTTGTAAATATATGTATATTTTGATTTTCCCGCAAAAAAATCATACACAAAACACAAACAATGAACACACACAAGATTCTGAGATTGGGAAAATCATGGAAACTGGCAAAACCTTTATAAAGGTTTAATACATGTAAATATAAATGTATACTTATACCTTCTTTAAGCCTGCTTAAATCAGTACGGTATGGCATAGTTTTCTGATTCCAAGAATGCATGCACATTGAAAGACATCACTGAGTGCACACCCTTCCTGGTCTGGGCCTCCATATCAACTCAAAACCACCAAATTGCACTGCACGATAAACTAAAGGAAAGCGCAATCTAGACATACAAACATATCACAGTACCGTACCGGTACGATGCCGGTAATAATACTGTAATAGGCCTACTGCAGGGTTCGGGGCTTGCAGTCGTTTCAACCCACACAGGGTCGAGTGCGAGATGCACACCAGGAAACCCAACAACAACTTAGCAAAATACGGTATCCATATCTGAAAATATCCAATTGTGTCCAACAAATACACGAAACACGACGCTTCGTTCACAGACTAGCCTACGGTACCGAGTACTGTGACCTGTGTTTACGCGAACTGTAATAGAACAGAACAGACTGGCCTTGTCAAACCTGAAATATGAAGGGTGAAGGAGGTCTGATCTAACGTAAGGTTGAAATAGTTCCACAATGTGGCTTCAATACTTGAATAAAATAAAAAAATATTTACTTAATCCCAATTTAGGATAAAAATCAGCATATCGATGAGACAAGGAATTGAAAAAAAAACATTAAAAAAAATCATCATCGACAGTAGAAGTCGCTTTTGTCCTTGTTTTATCATTTGTGTGTCGCATATTACTCACTTCTCCGGGTTATATTCACTTTGCACCCGGGTTCAGTAGTTAAATCACGATTAGCAGTAAGATCTCTATGTCATTCAGGTCCTTTGACATGCTTAAAATTGTCTAATACGCTCAATCATATTTTATGCTTCTCTCCGATTGCTCGTGGATATGCACGAGTAGTCTGAGACATAGATTCACATGTATTTTCATGTAGTACTGTGTAATGAATCATTCTATTCACTGTGATAAATGAATTGCCATCCTTGTACTTGTTCTGAGCGCACATGCTGAAACTAAATAACCTATTCACATATATTTCAATGTGGTACTGTGTAATGAATCATTTAATCAGTGTGATAAATGGATTGCCATATTAATTTTTTTGCTAGAAGGCTATTACTTTTATTTATTTCAAAATTTTGCGTGAATTCTATGAAATTTGATATTTCGTCTAAAATTTTGCTGTATTATTTTTTATCCATGGGAACACGGATTTTAGTCAGTGTCATGACTGGCTGTACGTTTTGATTCTGCAAAATTCTTGCTACTGGAAATTCAGAACTTTTTTGAGGGTACCGGTAGCGTCAAAGGGTACCGGTAAGGACTGATTCGCTCTGGTCTAACGTGTCCATATATTTGTGCGTAGCTCTCTTGTATTTCATGTACGGTAGTATTGTGAAATGTGGATGTATATAATTTGCAATTATAAAATATATATCTATTTTGACAATTTTTATACCAAATCTTACGCGTCACACATTGAACGAAAAAATCTGTAGTCTGTTTATCTGTAACATTGATTCATATATATTCAGTACTGCTGTAAGTTTAATTTTATATTGTTGTGCTTACGGCTTGACGTGCTGCTAAATTCTCATTCCAATGATTGCTCTGTGCACTTACAATTAAATTATGTATATTGTCTCCATTTATGTATTTTACGTGGGGTGTAATAAAATCACTGGTGAAATTGTTTTTGTTTTTAGACGTGGGACGGGAGCAGTAAATGGGTTGAGTGCACTGCAACTAACGGTATATTTGGCATTTCGGAAGCTACGTTGAGGCGTCCCTACGTTGAGTTATGGGGTGGCATCGATGAGTTTCGCAATGTATGTGGAATCACGTGAAAGTGTTAGAGCCCATAGGAGTTTGTCCAAACTTTAGACTCTAAAGTGGGGGTGGGCAAGCTTTTGTTGTTCGCAGGCCAAAATTGAAGTTGCAAGTCGCGTGCCGCACATATTTTTATAAAGTTAAAAACCGAGGGAATGACCAATGAATCACGTTTTTTCACACAGATTTCAGTTAAATTTCAAGCAGCGCGCGAAAACTGATGATTTGAATATTTTCTGCGCCATTAAACCATTTGCAATCAGCATCAACTTTTTCACGTTCTGTTGCCATTTGTCTAAGGATAATTATAATCAATTCATTTATCATTAAACGAGTGATTGTGAATTATATACTTGTTAGGATATAATATAATTTAGTGTCTCAAAACAAATTTATCTTTCAGTTTCGTAGCGCACATCAGGTAACTACCTGAAAATGATTTTAAAATGTTCCTTAGAAATTTAGTAACAAATATTGCCTTGTTCCCACTTCCAAAAGTTGCACGTTTTACAGAAAAGACGCTTTTACTACAATAAATATGTGTTACCATCTGTCCTATTTTCTCTGCTTTTCCGGTATCATGGGCCAATGAACGCAGACTTCTGCACGACGTAACAGTCAAGTTAGTCAGCTGTAGGTGGATCCCCAGTGGTCGGATGAATATCAGATGTACTCAACTGCTCGCTTTTGCGTTGAGTAGCCTTTCCATAGTTTTTTTCAGTTACCGGTAATATTAGTCCAGTTATTCTAAGGAGGTGTTGAAAAGTATAGGTAAGATATTAAACACTTGTATATCCTTGCCATAAATAGCAATTTTAGTTGAGCACTAGCTCATAAGACGTTGTTAAATAGGTACGGTGCGGTAACTCCAAGGAAGGCTAGACCTAGAATAATATGTCACAAACAACGATATTTTCTGGCTTGCATGAAATGTTTATGATTAATTTAATGACTCTTCTTGACTATTCAGCAGACTTATACTACTATATAGGCCACAGCATATTTGGAAATAGAAATGAATGGCTGTTTCTGTAATGCACCGTTGTGTGAAAGAGAAGAAATTAATCAATTTTACTAATGTCGGTTGTTCTAAATCTAAATTCATAGAGTCGACAAGAACCTGGGAAGCAATGATAAGTTATGCCGGAGTGGAAAGAAAGGTAGCATTGGAAATGATTGAGAGGTGAGAAATGAAGTTGTAGACAAACAGTTGATGTTTCAAAATATAGTCTATAGTCCATACTCATACTGTCATAGGACATTTCAGACTGTGATATATCAAAATTTAGTGTAGATATAGTCTAGTAATGGTATGCAAACACTGCTGGACTGTAGAACATGCAATGAGCATATAATCGCTCATTTAGTACATCAGATAAAATGCATTATGTATTCAAGGTATTAGTTAGTATTTAGGGGTATTTTTAAATCATGCTGCTCCAAATATTATTTTCTTCCTTATTTTAGATACTGTACTACAAAAGAAAACGGCAATGTTCCACCAATCCGACCTAACGCAGGCTCTGGTCCCTGCTGCTATCAGTGCTATAAAATTGATTAAACAAGAAGTCTTGAAGCTTAAAGGTATATGAGAATCATAATAGTTGCAAACAGCTTAGATGGGCTATTCATATTGAAATACTTTAGCACTTTTCTGCAATTGGAACTGCCCATCAAATTCATGTTGGAGACTTCATTGAGATTTTCAATTCATTTTTTTCCCTCGACTATGAAGATCTTTTGAGGTTAACGAGGTATTAATAAATAAAGCTGAGGAATTTGAAGAGGATATGAAGAATGTAAATGATACCAGGGCACGTCTATTTAACACTGTCAAACATAAGGATTATACTCTCCACCCAACAATGATTCACTGAAGAAGCATGTGGCCCTCAAATCAGTTCTTGAGTTGGCAAACTGCAAAGAAAAATAGTCAAAATAATTTATGAAAGTGTGCCAAAATCAACTTAAATTGCACAGATTTTTGTTTTTGTATTGACTGCAGAAATCACAGTACACCTATAGAGGAAAGGTCGATTTTTGAGATAGTGGATTTCGAAAACAATTCAGAAGAAAGTGAATTAGATATTACAGTTGATTTAATAAGTATCATACATTTTTTTTTTTTTTCGGACGTTTGTTAGTGTCGTAGTCCTGTTTCTAGAAATATTATTGCCTTTGTTCAAACACATAACCACATAAACTAAAAAAAGATTAATTGTAAATTGTAATATTTCTGTTCACTATGTTATGTACATATTGTACATTCATTTAATTTTCTTGATTTTTGCGGTAAATTTCTAAGTGAGAAATAACTGATTTATTTGTGTTTTCGTGCTCACGATGTTAATTTGTGACTTCATTGCTTAAAAATAAATACGTTTGATACTTGATAGCTTCTATAAAATGGATGTAGCTTTTTATGCTGTTCTTGTTGTAAACTGCTTGTGGTTATTACATAAAATTTATTCTCAAATGTGAATCAGCGTTGTTGGTGTCGCTGCTTTCGAGGTCACTCCCGACTCCTGTCGCACAATTAAAGTATTTTTTGTTGTTGGTTACATGTATGCCATATTTTTCGTAATCTACCTA